ATTTGGTCGAAACAGCACTGAACTCGGTCTTCTTGTGTTCAAATCCGGAGTGGTGAGCCACGAATAGAAATGGTTGGCTGGCGTGTGAGTGGCTTGCACCTTAGAATTTGTCAACTTTATCAGAATTATTCAGAAAAACTTTTCAAACCATAACTTTACCTTTTCCTCTTTTATTGCTGGGTCATGAGATTTTTCTGGAGGTGCTACCTTTTCGGGCTGTGGGGCAGGTTGAGTAGTCGGTGCAGGCTGCAACAAAATCAAAATGCAGATTTCGAATCTATAAAAAATATAGTGATGAACACCACAAATTTTTTGATAAAACTCGGTTTTCTAAATTACAAAGCTTTCCAGGTCTTGCAATATGCATTGCATCGATTTCCAATGTTTTTTCTTAAACCGTACCTTAAACTAAATTAAAATATATAATCCTTAAAAAAAACTGTAGATTTGTAGTGATTCTGCCAATCAAAAGTCTCATACTCTATAGGTCTTAAGAATGATGCCCACCTCCTGCGGTGCAAGCTCGTCGTCGTCATCATCAAGCGGATCTTTCGGTTCAGCCTTTGGTTTTTCTTTCGGTTTCTCAGGACATAATTTGTAAAAACACCCAAAACATCCACGTGTGCTCCATTTTTGGCAGGTCTGGAACATAGGAATTTGGTCGGGGCCCTCGCTAGGTGAAGAAAATAGAAGCTATACGTTTAGGTGGCAGTAGGTATGCACAACGAAAATTACCGGGCCAGTTAGAATTGCTATAAGGGTGGCGAGTATAAAAAGGTAGAAAATCTGCAATTTGAGAAGAAAAATTAAGAAGAATTGGAGGTTATGGTGAAGTAGCAATCCTGTACCTGCTCATTACCAGCAGAAAGTATCATGAACCATAATGTGAACAGAAGTAGAGAAAGCAGTAGCAAAGACTTTGCTGATTTCCTAGAAATCTTATCTGGTGCATAGCCAATTTCTGTTTGATGGGACGTTTAGTTTTCAACTTACTTGGCCCAAAAACACTGCACCTGATCTTGTTCAGGAGTAGTTTTATCGCATGCGAGGCAACTCAGTTGAGCTTGTAGTCCCGTTACAGCGATTAGTATCCAACAGGGAATTACAAACGCCCAGAACATATTCCCTGGCGCTGTGGTAAA